TGTTAGATATTTTCTCAACAGATTTTGTTATAAATGAAATTAAAGATAACTTTATAGTTATATATTATTAAAATATTTCTTCAGTAATATATATTTGGTTGATTAATATAAATAATCAAATATGTTATATTAATGAAATAGTCCAATATGACTTTTTGTAGTAGATATAAATGGTATTTCTCTTTTAATATAGAAGATGTTTACCTTATCATCATCATGTAATAGAAATTTCATTTCTATAAGTTTGTTATTCTTTTATTATGCTTTCCACTTTCTAGTAAAATTCACTACATTATGACAATAAAAATATTCTTATTTAAATGATTTTATGTTAAATAAAATATGATTTCATTATTTACTTGATGATTTCAGTAAAAATATTTAAAAAAATTAAATTATAAAGAAAACACTAATTTGGAAAAATCAAGAAACGTTAGAAAGTGACTTATAAACCGATACAAACGTTAGAAAGTGACTTATAAACCGATACAAACAAGAAACGTTAGAAAGTGACTTATAAACATATAATAGTACATTTTGAAGCTCCTCAGCGTGTCCACGTCATCAAGTTTGTGGGTCCCGTGTGTTATTAGGGAAAATAAAAACGTATAACATTTTGTAAGATTGAATGTTATCGATGAGTGATGAAATGGCCCAGTGGTGTAAGTTGGTGATGAGAAGTTGGTACCGCAAGTGCGCGGGGTCCGAAACGTAGTGCTTGCATATAATTTTTTTTTTAATTTGGGCTTTTCGGGATACCTAAAAGCTTAGGGAGATTCAAAATGATTTTTATGCTGGTTGTTGGGATACAAAATGGTTTAAGGAATTGAAACTTTATGAGACTATCTTAGTTACTTTTATAAGAAAGGTTATCATGTTCCAACCTCCAATATCATTTCAATTCAGTTATAATCATCAAATAAAATAAAAACATATTTTTCAATAATAAATATTTACCCCGAACCATTCAGATCGGCCATAAATCTCATATAAATCACAATTAAAAAAAATAATATATATATATATATACAACATAATTTCAGAAAGAAATTACACTAATAATCACATGTCTTTTTTGTCTTGTCTCCATTAAATTATTTTTTACATGAAAGCACTAATAACAGTAATGCTCGATAAAATCACTAATAAAGGAAATGTTTGATAAAATCACTACGAAGATAAAATATGAAAATATCAACCCATATGAATTAGATGTTTATTTTTTTATCAGACTAATCAAGTTGTGTGACTTCTAATGTTTCATTCATCACCATTATAGATAAGCGAGATAAACAAATGTTAAAAAAAAAACAGCAAAGACTCATACGCAAAACTACACAAAACATCAACAACATATCTATCTCCCGCGCTTGTACGGAGACTATGCATCTAGTATCGTAATAAAGTGACATTATGACTGCTATATATTTTTTTACATGTACAACACATATGAATATTATGAATATGTGTTTGTACATGTAAAAAAATATATAGCGGTCATAATGTCATATGTTCATGTACGACGGCATCAACGTAATTTTACAATCATAAGATGTATAAAATATAATAATAAAAAATTAGAGTTGTATCAAGAAAATAAAAAAAAATACTCATGTAATATTTTGTTGTACATACTATTGTGTTTTGTAAAATAATATGAGAAAGCTTAAACCTATATAGATGTAAATATTTGTAGTTCCTTTTGGCTTATGATTTTTAAAGCAGTAGTTTTCTATTAAATAGGAAAGTTCGTTATTTAGAAACAAATACTTGAAAATTTACATTTACAACTCTCTTTTGTTTAAGATTTTCAAAAAGGGTAAAATCATTTTTTTTTTCTTGTGAGTAATTGTAAGATTTATAATTCGTTTTTAAAAAAACTTTAGTAAATAATTTCTTGTATCTGTAGGATTTTATACATGATTCATTTTTAGTTTTTTTTTTTGTTGTGAAAACTACTATTTAATTTTATAATTTTTTGTGTAGGATTTAATAATTATAAATTAGGATTTAAAAAAAGGAAAATTAGTTTCAATTAGCTAAACCTATATAGATGTGAATTTGTGTAGTTCTTTTTGGCTTAATATTATTAAAATTGTAATTTTCTACTAAACAGAAAGTTAGTTATTGCAAATAATTGTAAATTTAGTTTTTACAATTCTCTTTTTAAAAAAAAAATATTTTCAAGAAGGAATATTACTACTATTAAATATTATTTTTTCTTGTTAGTATTTGTAAGGTTTATAATTCGTTTTTGTTTTAGATTTTCATTAATATTTCAAATTTTCAGAAGCATAAAATTCACAAGAAAAGCACCAGATATATCATCAATCAGTTCAACTAGATTTTCATACATATGTAACACAATTTATTTGGTTGAAACTGTAAAACTGTTTTGATACCAAGACAATGCCCTTTCTCAAAAACCCAAAATAAAAAACAACAGATGGCGAAAACTAATGCTTTCATCTTGATAGCTTCACGTTTGACATGAATCTCACATTCCCTTGCGTTGCACATAGCGAACATACCAAAACTTTTGAATGCCAGATTATGGGACAAGTATTGTGATCTTGTTCAATCCACATTGTTTCACCAAGAAAAATGTCAACTTGGCTTTGTATTATTATCTTTTTCGCCAATGCTTGTTTAAAGTAAGTATGATATTGTTTCATTGTCATTTCGTATTAGGTCTGTGAAAAGCTTAGTCCGAGATTTTGATTTAAAGGAGAAATAGATTTTGATCCGCGATTTCAAAGCGCAGAACTATTATTTTTACATATTTATTGTTATAACATATGTGTTTTATATAACATTTATATCATGTGTTTTAATGATGTCTAGAAGATGTTTTATATATTGTGGATAACTAATGTATATACAAAATGTTAATATCGTGAAAATAATTATTTTGTTATCGTAAATTTTAATAAGAAATTAAATTGATAATTATTGGCAATAAAATTTTATTTTAGAATGACTTGATATAATTTAAATTAAGAAGGCTAGTTATATACAGTATTTAATAGTTCTGATAATTTCATTTCAATTTAGAAAGTTTAATCAAAGCTCATATATTTAAAGGATTAGTTTGAAAAATTGATAAAACGAATGGACGTCCAATAAATCTGCTGTCCTCGTTTATAACCCAACAACACAATGAATAATTCTTTGGTCTGTTTGCAAGACCGACGAATTTAATTGGTTAGAAACATAGATAAGATGGAACTATATTAACTACCGCTGGAATGTAATTAGTTTGGAAAATAAATGACTTCTGATTGGTTGTAATTAGTTGACGATTTTTATTTTAAAAAAGAAAGAAAAAACAATGATATCTCATGGTAAATAACTCAAAAAATTAGGGGCAAAATCTTATTAGGAATTCTAATAATCATTCTGATAGATAATAATCATTATGGCCTCTTGATATTATAATGTCACCAATAATCATTGCAAGAACAAGAACCATCTTTGAACCTATGAAACCGAACTCGATCCCTAACAATGATCTCTCTCTTATAAATCTTTGAGATATGTTTGAAGACAACATGACAGTCCCCACAAATCCTCAAGTTCTTTATAACCCTAACGGGAGTCTCCTCTCCCACACCTTCCACCATCATCAATCCATAAGCCACCGCCAATTTCTCGCTGTGATAACACAAAGCGTTCTCTTTCTCTTCCTCTCCAATGTCGTGCAACACAAGTCCCGTCTGCGCTACGTAACCGTCTTCCCTTATCTTGAACCTAATCTCATCAAACAAAAACGCAAGAAAAGAGTAAACCAATAGAAACTGCCAATCCCAGGGGTGTACCAATTGTAAAAATATACCTGATCTCATCAATCTTCTCATAAATCTCTCTCCACTGTTCATGTCTCTTATCGCTGTTGTAGAATTTATGTATTGTTCCTTCAGCTTCTATGTAGCTGAGACCGGGAATCTTCTTCACTTGCTTGGTCTCCATATCATTTCTAACTCGTCCTACGTCCTTCCACCGTCCCTGCGCTGCATAAATGTTGGAGAGCAACACGAAATCCCCGTCGTTGTTAACACCCAACTCAATCAATTTCTTAGAAGCTATCTCAGCCATTTCCACGTTCTTGTGAATCTCTGAAGCGCCAAGAAGGCTTTGCCATAAAATAGGATCCGGAACCATTGACATGGAGCATATAATGTCGTGAGCTTCTCTCAGCTTTCCTGCACGGCCTAACAGATCAACCACACAACCGTAATGCTTCATGTTAGGCTCGACTCCGTTACAAGCCATGTTGTTGAATATTGATGTACCGTACTCCACTAATCCGGCGTGTCTGCACGCAGTTAGAGCGGCTAAGTAGGAGACATCATCAGGCTTGATGGTGTTGTGCTCAAGTTTATGGAAGATCTCTAAGGCTTTGTGCGCTTCTCCGTGCACAGCAAACCCCATGATCATAGTGTTCCACGTAACAACGCTCTTATTGCTTGTGAACTGATGGAACACTTGAAAAGCTTTATCGACAAACCCGCATTTGGTATACATATCGATGGTGGCGTTGCTGACAATCACGTTTCGATCCAAGTTTGAGTCTTTTACGTAGCCATGGATCTTCTCACCTTCCTTGATAGCACCCAAGTGAGAACAAGCTCCCAGAGCAGCAACAAGAGTTACTTCATTTCTTTGAACTCCTTCCAATTCCATTCGTTTATACAGCTCCAATGCCTCGTGAGCTCGATTCCCAGACGCTAATCCAGCGATCAAAGCATTCCATGACGCAACATCTCTCACAGGCATTTCGTCGAACAGCTTATGCGCGCATATCAAATCTCCGTTTTTAGAGTAAGCATCGAGCAAAGTGGTGCAGAGAAGCGCGTCTGCGAATAACCCACGACGGTTAATCTGAGCGTGAAGCTGGGGAGTGGCGGAAGAGCAGAGAGCACGAGCGCAAGCTTTTAAAGTGAAAGAGCAAGTGAGAGCGTCGACTCTACATTGCGACAACATGGAGCGATACCATGAAAACGCGAGCGACGGCTGAGAACTCGAGGCGTATCCGCGGATGATTGCGTTCCAGTCATTGGTTAAAGGTTTAGGGATGCGACGGAAAATCTGTACGGCCAAGGAGAGGTCTCCGAATGGAGAAATCGCGCAGCGCTCGAGGAGGCGAGAGCGGAGATAGGAAGACTGGAAATGGCCGGCGGTCACGAAATGAGAATGGACCTGTTTCATGTGTGACACAGTGACGCATCTCTCTATCACCCTCTCCATGTACACTCTAGCCATTCCATTACCATTTGAGGGAGGAGTTTCACCGCTTCTGGTTTTGGTAGCGAGGCCTTTTTCTTTTATTTTGTTTCGAAAACACCTTCAGACTTCTTTATATTGAATAACTAGGGTAGACCCGCCCTACGGGCGGGATTTGATGGATCAGTTTTAATAAAATCTATAATTTTATGTAAATTTCATTTTATGTTAGATTGAGTGTGAATATGATTTTGATGTCTACAACAAATTTCAACTATATAATTAAAATTATTGAATTCTTAGTATTTTGCACTTGTAATCCTAAATTGTAAAGTTTTATAGTGTTTTCAGTTTTATAACACTATAAAATATATAAATCAATCAGATTTGGTCAAAAGAAGATGAGATCCATATTTCCAATACCATTGTATTCTTTTTTTGTGAGGATTCTTTGTCAAAGCTATTGTAGTTGTTTTATAGAATGTTAATAATTGATATCATCAACAATTGAGGTTGATTTCGATAATTTTGTGATAAATTATGATGTGTTTTATTTATGTAAAATAAGAAATTATATATAAATTAAATATTTATTTAAAATAAATTTATATATATTAAAATAAATACTAAAATACATGAATATAGATAATAATATTGATAAACAAAATCATATATAAATTCTTTAAAATTTTAAAGTTGTAAGTATATTTGCAAATAAAAACTATAAATTTTATCATCTGATAAATTATGACTAAGTCACGTGTCGCATTCTGGTGAGCCTATTTAGTGACGTGGTAGTCTCAATATTGAGAAAAAAGTTTTCTTTATAAATAAATAGGATCGGCCCGTCCTACGGGCGGGATATATTTTATTTGTGATCTATGTTATTATTACTTGTATGATTTTGTGATTTATGTTTTAGGGTTGCATATGAAAGAGATGCTTATAACAATAATTTTGTATTTTAGAACGTTTTAGGGTTGCATGTTTTAAGGATTATATGTGATAAGATATATTGTACTTGTTTACAATAGTTATTTCTATATGAAAGAGTTGTGACATTGATATGTTTTTTTCTATATGAAAGAGTTGTGACATTGATATGTTGCGAGTACATGTTTCCTCTTAAAACACTTTGATCCTATATTTGGAATATTATTTGTGTAATATCTTCACTTTGATTTTGTTATATTTTGGATCTAGTTTCGTTTGGTTCTTTGTAATGGGTTATTTTGTTCGGTTTCTTTTAATTTATTTCTCTGTTGTTTAAAGTTATTATTTTCATTGTAGAACGTAGAACTCTTTGTTTTCAAAAATAAATTATGCATTAATTAAATGATTAAACATGAAATGGTGAGTGACCGCAAAAAAAAAAACTGATTTGTTTGTATTATATATTGAAGTGGCATGTGTAAAATCTGAAAAAACAATCATCTAATTTATAACGCGTAGTGCTAACAATTACTTCCTAACCTTCAGTGATGATATTTAATGCGGTCTAAGCCCAAATCAATTATAATATCCAATTTAGTTGAAGCCCAAACCAATCATTAATATTAATTTCAAATCCAAACCAAACCAAACCAATCATTTTATATATGTTATGTAGTATTTATTTATGAATTTAAGTACCATTAATACTTATAAATAACTAACATGCAACAATTTTATTATACGTATGTATAAGTTATTATACATAAATAGTATAAATAATTTATCTCCGCATATTTTCTAAATTTTTCAGTGTTTTCAATAATTTTCAGTGTTTTTTGACAAAGCGTTTTTTTATTTCTTTTTTGAACAACAGATTATATAATTACTTTTCATTATTTTGACTTAATAAAAACATAACGAAAACACTCATAAATTTATAGATACTGTTATATAAATTCTATAACGGTAAGAAGATATATTATGTGTTATGCTATAACTCATTTAAAAAAAAGAAATATTAGTAACCTTTTGTACATGTCAGTTAAAAAAAACATTTGTATATGTTAGTTACTGACTTTTTTTTGTCACCGAGACAATATTCAATGCTACTTATATACAGTGAAACCTCTATAAATTAATAATGTTGGGACTACACCAAAACTAAAAATTTTATTAATTTATAGAGATTATTAATTTATCGAGGTATTAATTGAACCAAAAATTCAATTTGGGACTATGAAAGTATATTAATTTATAGATATATTAATTTATAGATTATTAATTTAAAGAGGTTATACTGTATTTTCAACAATCTCTCGTTATAGAAAACAAAGTGTCGTTTCATAGGTGTAAGACGACATGTAATCTGTTTTCATAGAATAGTTGATTTAATAAAAAAACTTATAAAAACTCATCAGTTCTATAAAAGAATTGAAATAAAGTGATTTTATGATATATTTTTGGGAAAAATGATAGATTTATTCATCAATCGATTGTCTTCCTCTTTTTTTTTTTATATTTTCTTCTTGGTTTCCTTTTTGACTCTTTTCCTGTAATTTTCTTTTTTCATCTTCTTCTGATATTTTCTTAATTCTTTTTCAAATATTTGCTTACACTTTGATATTTACTTAATTCTTTTTATATATATTTTTGTTTCCTTTTCCTTCATTGGTCATAAATCCATTTCTTAAGTCAATAATTGCATTAAATTATGATCTTTGCCTTCCTTTTTTTCTTTACACTCATTTTATTTTCTTCGTTTTTTTCTATCTTTTAATTATTTTTTTTCCTTTTCAGATCTGACTTCTTGGAAACAAACATGGACAACTGATTTATTACATCACCACCAACGATATTTGCTTTCACCATATTAGCAAGTGAGCACCTTCGTTTCTTCTGGCCACCACCGTTGGCGTTTCTCTCCCCACCGCCAAAGCTTTTCCATTTTTTTGCTTAAATTAATTTGGAGGAAAAAATATCAAGATTTTCTACGTCAATTATATATTTAAAACCTATTTGATTAAGATATTTATTTATAAGTCGAAGATGAGGATAACTGATATATCATCAGTTTAGTGTCCCTTGTTTTGTGTTTGATCTAAGCATTGATTTCTTTCACATAAATCCCCTTCATTTTGTTAAATTCTAAATGGTTTTCTTTTTAATTTGTCAGAGAAAAAACTACTAAACTTACAAAAACATAATCACTGATCTAATATATACGATTAGTTTTAGTCACTATGGCAGGTGGTTAATCCTAAAACTTGTAAGATCCTTCTGACCGCATTCTTCAAACAAATTAGTATAGCTACATGATTTCTAGTAATGTAAAAGTTTACGTAGTTTTCATATGGTGGAAAGTTGGAAACTGATGAAGCTTTATTCTTCTAGTAAAGTATCCCAAAACGATTAATCATTGTATCATATCATGAACAGATTCTTTTTGATAGTTGAGTGATATGAAAATTTATACATGAGCAAAATTTGCAGCTGCTCATTCACATTTTACACCGATGAATAAAATGATCCATAATCATTGATTTTACACTTTGGTGCCCCGTGTATTGTCAAAAGCTTCTTTCATCAACTTCAACTTAGAAAATCTGTATCTCCTTCGACATCTCAAAGGTGGCTCCAATACCACATAAATTTGGTGACCAGATACAACAATTACTTGCAATGGTTTAATCTTTCTCTCTCTCATCTAATGTAAGCGAGGTTGTTGATGATACACAGAACTGGAAAGCCATAACTTTCAACCGAAGCAACCACTTCCCATTATTCATCTTCCACCTTATTCTAGTCTCCACACAACTCCACTGATGGTGTTCTTCTGCTATTTTTCAAATACTGTATCCTCACTGATACTCTACGTAACTGGAATTATCATGATGAAACACCATGCTTGTGGACATGTGTCACGTGTAGAGAGCTTGGGAAACCCAACAACCCGAGACATGATCAGAGCCAGAAGATTGGTACTTCCCAACAAAGATCTTGGTTTTGTTACTTGGGACTTGTGCTTGCGTCTACATCTAAGGATTTTGGATCTGTCAAGTAATTTCTTCAACGGGTTACTCGCGGACTCTGCTTTCAACGCCACTGAGCTTCAGACAATCTCCCTGGTCATTTGCCTCAGATTATCAACATTTTCATGAGTCCAGGTTCTGAATCTGCTAACGCTTTTACAGGAGAATCATCCATCATCATCGGAGCCAGCTTACACGAAACCTTTATTCTTGCCATTCTTTCTATGCAGAGACTGCTATAAAATTAGCAAAACAAATGACAAATGCTTCTCAGAAAGATAATATTTGTATTATGAGCTGCCATGATGACACGTTTAAAAAGAAACGAATCAAAGTTATCATCAGAACAAATAGCTGCCAGAAACATTGACATTCTTAGTAAATAATCTGAGTGTAAACATTACTGTATCTCTTGAGTTGCCAGTTACAACACAAAACAGAAAGATAAAAAAATTTATATAAACAGAATCCCGCAGGCTGATCAAAGGGAAGCTAAAGCAAGTACGGAAGGATCATATATAGCATTTGTGTGTTTAAACAAACAATGATGTTCGGTATATATGCTAACATTGTAACGCGGCGAAGATCACATTAATAAAAAAATAAGAACAAATCAGAGACACTCTTGCAGCGGTTGAAGTGAAGAACTTATCTGTAATTATAATATCATTAATAGGTTGTATTTTGAAATCATGGACACCAATAGGCTTGCAGATGCCTAACTTTAATGAGGTTTGCATTCCTTCCATATCTGGTGCGGAAGACAATCTCCGGATTAGAAATATATTCAGAAGAGGTTATATAACATATTGAAAACTAAAGTTTGATAAATCTGAGTTTATAGGCCGTCATATGTTACAAAGCTACAATGATCATGAGTTTAAAGAAAGAATAACCTTGGCGTCGAGGAGAAGCACATCTACCCACATCAACTTGCCACCGTGTACGTCTTCTTGCTTCCTAGAACAGAACCTGAGAAGACACACCTCCAGCCTTCAACTCTGAGAGCAAGACATGAGGCAGCCATTATACTCATAAAATAAATTTCAGTTCTGAATAACCAACTGTATCACAGGAGTGGCAGCAAACAATACACCTATGCTTTCATAATCATAAATTCCAAGAAATATGAGAGAGAAGTAAATAACCTTTGTCAGACTTGCAATGATGAGTCTATTGTTTACATCAATAAGAAGTATTACACACATGTTGAATAATCCGTCATGGCATGAAAACAATCACTTTACTAAAGTCATATGGAAAAAGAAAATTACGCAAGGCTATTAAAGAGTCGAATCTGCGATTACTTGTTTGAAGATTTCGTTAGAACTGAATGGAATTTCCCTCGCACTCCGACGAATTGGAATCAATTGCCAATACTTGTAGGTGTTTCCTCGGCCTCATTCTCCACCGGTTATCCTAATTTTGGCATCTTCGCTGGCTAGAGGATACAGTGAACCTACCTTCAGATTAGGTATGTAAGTTGCAAACCGGCGACGACAACATGGTCACCTGAACATATGTCCAACAAAAAAATAATCAAAAAAATTTGTTAATAAGGATTAAACACAACGGACTATCCGAATATATAATCAGAATAATATATAAAAACAATCACTAATCAGTTCTAAAGATCTAAACTTGAATTGTTCGTAATAACGATTGAACACGATGGAGACATTTGAATTAGGAAAAAATTAAAAAAAAATCTACTTATGAGCTCAAGCGGAAGAACATATCATACCTGGGAATCAAGTAGCAACATATCGACTCCCCTTGAATTCGCCACCGCGTTGGACGCTCTCTGACCCAGAAACAGAGTAACCGGACTTGAACGGTGGAGGAGCCTCGGTGGAGTAGCATCGTCCGGTCTTCAGATCAAAGAGGGAGACTGAAACTCAGCTATAGATCGCAATATTAGTTTAATGGTTACTTTAAAACGAATGAAAGAAATATTTTCATAGTAGGAAAGCTCACCTTTTTATACTCGAATCTCCACCGCCTTGGAGGATTGGGACTCGCATTGATCATAGATAGTGGGTAATGGATTAATGGAGGGTTAAAAGTTGATTATGTAACTGGTATCATTTCGTATCATGAAGAGAAGCTGAAAGACAATCTCCTATGAACTCTGAGAGGCAAAGATGAACACATGCCTAACCCTAAAAAAACGTGTCGTTTCATCTCATGGAGTTTTTTCTTATGGTTTTGGGTCTAAGAAGCTAAGGCAGCCCAAATACAGACAAAGCCCAAATATCTTGCTGAACAAAATAAAAGAAACGATGAGTTTTGGACGAAAGGGACACCTGTCGCTCCCTGGTTAACCTATTTAATGACGTGGAGAGAGGAAAAGAGAGTGACCTTTTCTTTATAGTATAAGATGTTAAGGTTTGTTGATATGGTCCATCAGTAATACATATTTTCTTACTCGCAATTTTATAATAGTAATATAGAAAATGTTCATTTGCAAACTGTAAAGAAAATAAAACAAAGTTTAAAATCAATATGAATCTACACAAAATGATTATAAGACTCAAATCATATGAAAATCAAAATTTATATCATCATATCATAAATTCTCAATCAACTGCTACAACAATACAAATTGAGAAGCCTGAAGCCTCTATGTTCGCAGATTACACTACTCAGAGCATGTTTCTTGTTGTCTGGGTTTCAGTTTCGCAGATCGTTCTTCATACGAAGCTGCCGGAAGACAAAAAAAAGATATAAAAGAGCTCCCCACCTTTGCATATGTACATGTTTGCAGTGAGATATAGAGAGACTTACGCTCAGTTGGCCGAGATAACAGAGGAACGTGTATTGCTGCTTTCTTCTTCTTTTCTTCACCATTACATGAGAATTGATCTTGATCTGCTAAAACTGAAATTTTTTGAAATCATTCTCTTTCTTTGAACTCAGGTTACTACTAAGTGTAAAGGGGGCGACTGATACCGAGTAAAATTCTCAGATACTCTTAATGAGACAAGTGTAATGAAAAAGAAAAGTAAAAAAAAAAGAGAGGAGTATATGAGAATAGAATTTTTAGATGAAGAGTATATGAGTAATTGATTCAGTGATACCGTACCATTGCCTATAGGTAAACAGTTCCTGAGAGCCTCCTGGAAAATTACGGACTCTAGTTGGTACGTCAGCGACTCTTTCTTGAAATGGGACCTCAATGACTCTGCAGCACCTTTTAAGCATGAAAAGAGCTTGTTATTATCATTAGCTTCGGGATCCCAGTTCCAAGTTATCTCGAGGAAAGCTTGTTACCTGAAGAACAAATGAAGTTTACATCTTCGAATTCGCATGTTCGGAGGACTAAGGGGATCTCCGAGGCCAAGAGGTATTGAGGTTTTCTTGGTGTTTTCTTGGTGTCCAACAATGTATCTATCACCTGAAAAGGGAAGTAAGGGTTGGGTTGAGCTGTAAAGGGAAACTGGAAAGAATCACGAAGCCGCCTAAGAACTTACATCAACCGATTCAACGCCCTGCCCAATCATGAATAGAACAGCGACCATGGCGCGGATCTGGTGCCAAAGGAAAGCACTGCCTCTCATTGTAAATGTGCAAAGCTGATCACCCTCGTGACTTTACAAGAAGAAAAAACAAGTACATCAGAGGCTTTAGGACTGAAGTACAAAAAGACAACAGTAAAATGATCAGAAATACTGGTAAAAGCTTTATAATGGTTGCCATTGGGCCTAATAGGATGCAAAATTCATGTCACATAACCCTATATATAATCCTAGTGGTTGTCTACCATTAGTTCCTGAAAATCATGCGGTCTTAAGCAAAAGTCTTAGTTGACCTTAGCCCTTATAGCATCCAAAGACAGTAAGTATACTAATGCAGACATGACCATCAATGGAGAAACATAACATTTGCTTTAATGTGCTTTTTTATAACCAAAGCCGACCTATTTTGACAAGGAGATACTTCAAAGAAAGTAACACGTCGTGTATAGCAATGCACATTTGCCACGTCCATCTTGCAAAAGTTCCTGAAATCATGCTCACCAATGAACTTCTTACCAGCAATGTCCATGGCCTAGAGAAAAATGCAAATCAAATTAACAATCTAGACTGTTTCAATCATGAAGTGGACTTTATAGCACAAGTGTAGAGGATCACTGCACCGAAAGATTTAGGTTTTGTCTCCAGAAGAAATATTTGTATTCTCTAGCCGAGCAACTAAACCTGTACCCAAAGAAACAAAAAGGTAAGCATGCACCTTCCAACAATAGTTCGGAAATACTCTTGAGTCTAAAGGGATGAATAGCGCATGCACAACTAGACTGGAAATGAAGCCGGCAACGCTCTCACCTTGCATGAAAGTCAAGGGGAACGGGAGACCATCCCAAAACTCGGATGTCATCAGGGAGAGCACGATTCAACACTCTTACATAATCATATTCTGGTCCTACACAAGAGAGAACATAGAATTACGTACACACCATTACGAGACAGGAGAAACAAGTAGGCTGAGTAACATTCTCAGAGTAAACCTACTTCCATTAATTTTGCCATCAACATGGGCTTCAGAGTCTCCAGAAGGTGTCTTCAGTCTGGACCTTAGAAACAAAGCAATCACCTGAACCAACAATCAAATTAGGGAAGACCAGCATGTTGAGAAATTGATTTCTAAACTGGTGAGATCTATGTAAAGGTATACCATTGACACACAAGATCATTAGCCACAGACAACTGGTGGGATTCAAGAGAGATAATCCAGGGTAAGATGCAAGTGAAAACTAGCTAGGTAATACAATCAGAAGGATAAGCTCAAGCAACCCACCTGACCTGTTGATGAAACACCTTTATCGGTTCTCCCGCACCTGGAGTAATTAGAATCCTTCTTGTCACCAACTAAAAGCCGTGTCCTTTCTAGTGCTTTGAAAATTTCTGACTGCAGCAGGAAGTAGTCATGTTGTAAACACAAAACTAGTCATCAAAACAAAACAAAGAGAGAACATAACCACACCTCAATACTTGGTTCCATTTGTGCTTCGGCAGAAAAGCCATAGAATCTATAACAAGAAAAGTTACTGATTTTATAAAATTAGACACACATAACATTTCATGCAGAAACCGAAAGAAAACACATATGATATGGGTATATCATACCTCTTACCAAAATACATGATTTTCAAAGCAACATATCTCTTTGAGATAAGATGGGTCGGTATAATTTTATCAGCTCTTTTTCTACCTCTCCTGCTTCTCCTAACTAAGCTTGAAGAATCTAACACAGGCACATCATGCTTCACTTCCATCTACACATGGACAAACCTTTAACAATTTCGAGTGAAGTAAAATCAAGTGTACGAACATATGTTATGTTCACCTGTTGGCATTGGCAGCTTGAAACCTGTGATAGCAATTTGGCATTCTCCGCCTCTAACTCCTGATGAAATAATACATCAATCACTAAGCTGTGTATTTGGATCGTTCAATTAATAAAATGCTTAACCAAAAAACCCTAAGCTGTGGAGAAGAGATTCTAACCTTCACGCGATTACGGAGAGACGCTAGTTCGTTCTCCACAACTGATTCAGAGTCTCGGCCATTGCCGCCTGACATAGTCATTTTTATCAGCGGTGGAGTTTGAGAAGACTATGATGGCGACGGACTTGCTAATTCGTCGGGGACTCTCGACGCCGGACGAATAGGACGGGAAAGAGTTCAACGACGGCGTCGAGACGAGACGGTTTCGGGTCTCCGGATGGTCCTGTAGAAGCCCAAAACCCGATCGACATAGACATATAAGAAATAGACATATAAGAAAGACGGAGTTAAAGCAATAAACGATTATATAAAATATGGAGGTGAGATAAATCTCTTTCCTTAACTCTTAATATTCGTTTTGTAGTGAGACGAAACTGTACGAATATCGAATCCCAGGATACAACCATGGCAGACAAATCACTTTCATTCGTGAAACGACCTAACGAATTACGAAACACTCTCTAGACTTACTTTGGGAGTTTTTCTATTGGATTACTTGCGCGAAAAAAGTTGAGAATGGAGAAAGAGGAGAAACAATATTTAAAGAGAAGACGAGGAGCAACTTCCCCTAATCTGTGCTCGTTAGTGGGGATTTGGCAAAGATCTCGGGAAGTTTAAATTACGAAAACTTATCCTCCAAGACTTGCTCTCTCATTTTTTAATAAATATCTGGCGAGGAATAAACAGCGTGACGTTTTTTTTATTTGTTAGACAAACTACTTGTCGTTTTAAATAAAATTACATGCTGTTTTTTGAAGTTTAAATGACAAAGCGTTAATCTTAATTTGCTCAAAAAGATAACTTCTTATCAGACATTTATAAAGTCCAAACCCAAACCCAAGCCAAGCCGGCCAGATGGCAGCGACAGCGCGTGTGGAGCACCTTTACTCTCTAAGTTGTTTATTAAGCCCATCCATTTCTTTTCACATTTGATATAAAACCCAATGGGGTTTTATATTTTGATCCAACAGGTCCTCCCACAAATATACGAATCAATTGCTCCACTTAACTCAAAAAAAAAAAAAAAACATTCTGACATACTCCTCTTCTTTTCAACGTTTAATAAATAGAAAATGACTATGATATAGACCTTAACAATTAAAATGATCAAAATAGCATTTAAATGTTTTATTAAATATACATTCATATCTCTAGGGTTAACTAATCGACTTTTTTGTTTAGCGTTGAATAGTGGGGTTTTGGGGATAGGGTTTCAAATTGTAAAAAATAGAAAAAACTTAAAATTTTAAAAATAAAAAATGCTATTTTGGTCATTTTAGTTTTCGAGGTCTATTTTGTGATAAAAACTTAAAAGAATGCTATTTGAGAGAATTGTCCTTTAATAAACCTTTTTCTTATCAAACAATAAAATAAAAATTTAAGTTAAATAAGAAAAACTAGATCTTGATGGATGTTAATTTTCATTTTATTTACGTAGACATTTTGTTTTTTTTTTTCAAGAATGGTATATATTATAATCATATATATTCAAATATGTTAATGCATTTTTCAAACATAAATATGTGATTCATTTTTCTCCTTTTCATCACATTGATTATTGCTTTGTATATTTTTTATATATTTTTGTTTGTTGAAATAGATTTTTTGTTATTAAATGCAAGAACATATGCAAAATTTACTAAAATTCCCTATATATTAATTAAAAAACATTATAATATGTTTTGGTAGTCACATGTCATCATGAGAATACTTCTCAAATTTACTAAAAAAAATGTCGGTCCATATAAACATATATTATACTTTTTATTAAACTAAGTATAAAACTATTATTAATGCTATTCATTATTTCTTAAAATAAATTTTACGGAATTACCTAATATAGTTATAATATATATATGACAATTAGTGATTTGAATATGAAAAAATATTTGACAAAAAATTGTATAGCCTCTACTCTTTTTGTTAAATTTATATAGTGAAAATAAATTAAACAATAACATTAACTATATAAAAGAAATATAGATTTTTTATATATGTTATATTTTAAATATTTTAAAATGACTATAAATTAATAAATATATTTAAAATTTTCACATATAATATTTTGATTAATAGTTTAAACTTTTTACTATAGCACGATACAAACAATTATATAATTAATAAGTAAGAAGTATAATTTAATAGAAATTTAAATTAGATATATATATATACATATATTTTTAGTGATGTTTAAATTAAACTATATACCATTTATTAATTTCAAAATTACATTGAACAAGTATTGAAAACTTAATACTTTAATGACAAACTTCAAATTTAATTTTCGTAAACAATATAAATTACTATAAATATTAAATCTCTCACATTACAATAGTTAAATTTTTTTTACTATAAAAATATAAAAATTATCATAAAACCATGTAAGTGTGAAATTTCATTTATTAGATATTCAAATTAAAAGTATATAATATATATATGTTAATATTAGTTATTAATTATATTTATTTATATAAAGTGATTGTAAATAAACAAATATGCTTATTTTATTTAAGTGCTCGCTAAATTAATTGTATATAATAGTTACAGATTTTTCAATTATTTAACATATATATTTATTATTTTATAATATATAAAGGAACACAAAATACAAAAATAAGACATAAAAAAAAAATATATATATATATCTATATATATATATATATTTATATAATTCTCATCCCGCGCAAATGTGCGGGTATTAACCTAGTAAAACATTATTTTCATTTGCAAAGACATTGTAACATAAATGACTGTAAATTATTTAACAGAAATTATACTCATCTCATTTTAGATTATAATTTAAATTAAGTAATTAAACATTAATATTTGTATTTGTTATTTTTAAATATGAACTAGCAAATATTAAACAAATAACATTGACATATATTAAAATAAATTACATATAAAGGTATACTATTAAACATAAATTTCAAAGTCTATATTAGTTTAAAGATTACAAATTAAAATGTATTTGCATAAATATACAAATCTAATTTATTTAAAGTATGGTATATAATAAACTAAAATTAATAATGTATATCATTTTAATGTGAGTATCAACTGATGGATCTATATACTATACTAAGCCTAATGGATCACTCACATTGCTATACAATTAGTGTAAGCCCAGAAAAATAATAACCTAATGGTTTTTTTTCTGGAAAAAAAATGTCAACATGTAAAGTCGGTCATCATCTCTAATCTTCTGTTCCTTTCTCTTAAACTAACTCTGATACTCTAACCGTAAAAATAAAATCGCAACAAGCGTGGTTAATTTCTTCCTTCTGAACACATATAAAGGACGCAATATATGTCCTTAGGCCTGCGACTTCGGTTTTCCGAAACCGAACCAAACCAAATCATCGGTTTTCGGTTAACCGAAAAATTTGAAACCTATTCTGAAATTAATCGAATTAAATTTCGGTTCGGTTATCGGTTAATTTAGGTTTTCAAAACTATTTCCGGAAATAACTGATTTTATTGGTTTTCGGTTAATTTCAGTATAATTTTACAAAAAACATCGGATATTTTTCGGTTATTTCAGTTAATTTCAGATATTTTCGATTTAATTCAGTTCGGTTTTTTAGTTATTTTTGGTTATTTTCGGATATCGTTCGATTCGGTTTAAAGTCGCAAGCTTATATGTCCTCCACTACGATTGCAATCAATTACTAGAAAAACAGGTGACTTTAATTTTGTTTTTAAGTAGTATAGATTTGTTTATAATCTGAATACCAAATATCGTTTTTCTAATACCTGGGTCAGTTGTCTGTGAAAACATCTGCTTTGTTTATCAAATCGCTGTAACATGAAAGACGCCTCTGCCAGACATGTCTTGATATTACATCGTTTTGCTTATATAATAGTAGATCAGACTATGATCTATGTTTCTTAGCAAATATTGAATTAAGATTTAATGTTATGGTGATACTTAGTTGATTGGGATCAAGGAAGATAATTGCAAACTTTTAGAGAAGTTACTTAGAATGATTCTAATTAATTATGACTAGAATAACTTATACTCCTTCCGTTTTAAATTAGATGTCATTTTTGAGTAAATTTTTTGAAGTGTCGTTTATAATTTCATTGCAAAATTTATGGTTAGGTGTATAGGTAAATGTGCTTTTATTTTGAAAACATGTAAAATAACGACAACTAAAATAAAAAGGAGAGGGTATAATTTTTAAATAACTAGAATAACTCTTGAAATATGCAAATTGACGATTTTGCCATTATTAATAATTAAACCATAATTAAAAAAATATACTTTAATTTTAAGAAATAAAAAAGGAAACATTTTATTTTTGTAGGGTTCCTCCACCGTACGAAACAGCCTCCTCCTCGTCTCCTTCACCTCCAATTTCCACAGTATTTTTTTCATCGCAACCGGCTTCGTATCCATCACCCCAACTGTACCTCGACTTTGTATCTTACATCCTCCACTTGAACTCACCTTTGTCTCTGTGTTTCACCTCACTCACGTTCGGCTTCAGTTGCAACTTACTCGAATCTGTGAGTCTTTAGTCTATATTATTCGAGCTGTTGTTATTGTAGATTAGTTGATTGCAGGTAGAAATTTGGAACCCTAATTTTCAGTTTCATCTAACCTTCGACTCTAAATCTGTTGAACATAGGTTTGGTTCTGAATGAGAATTGAACTTTTTTTGTGTAGGAAAATTTTTGAGTTGAAGGAGAATGAGAGACGACGGACGTTAGAAGATATTTCTTGAAGCTAGTTGGACCAAAGGTTTCAGCTTGAGAAGACAATGAAATATTCTTCCTGGTAGTGGAGCTGATGAAAGCAAAATAGGCGTTGAACAAGTCAGGTGAACTAGGACTCAATACATATTCCTTTATCAAAGCTTCCATGTCTGACCCTAATGTGAGTTATTTTGCTGTAAATTTTTGCTTTTTTCTTACGTTTATATTGGAACTTTGGTTTAATTTGTTGTTGCATCTGATGGAGAATATGATTCACTTTCTTACTGAAATTGGGATGGCACACTATGACACTCTGAAGTTCTGTCCCTCCATGCTTGCTGCTTCAGCTGTTTACACAGCGAGATGCTCATTGAACAAGTCGCCTGCTTGGATTGACACCGTGAAGTTCCACACTGCTACTCAGAATCTGAGATTATGTAAGAATAGAGAAGACTACGTCCAAACTGCAGAAACTTATATGTTTTATTCTGTGATTGTGTTGATAGGGCATGCTCAAAGCTTCTAGCTTTACATCACTCTGAGA